CATTTTGAAGCCATCACTGGAGGAAGTCAGGACAGGACCTCAAGTAGGGCAGGAACCTGGAGGCAGGAGCTGATGCAGAGTCCATGGAAAAGGGCTGCTAACTGGCTTGCTCACACTGCTTTGTTATACAACCCAGGACTGTGAGCTCCAGTGGTCTGTGCCCTCCCCCATCAGTAACTAGTTAAGAAAATACCCTAAGGACTTGTTTGTAGCCTTATGGATCTGAGGAGAGACACAGATAAAAAACTTCACTCTGGACATTCATGACAAAGAGCCACTCTATAGCTATGTAAAGAAGGAAATTCAAAAGTAGAAGTATATGTGGATTGTTTTAAGATCCTAACAGCAGACTTAAAACACATCTATCAGTTTCCTTAAGGACTTGGGGTAAGCAGGGACAGCTGGTCCATATTACAACTCAACCACCTGTGTAAGTACATGTCAGGTATAGTAAATTATGCCTGTAATCCCAGCCCTCAGGAGGTAGAAGGATTGGGAGTTTGAAGCCAGCCTGATCTACAGAGTGAGAGTCTATCTCTAAATACAAACCAAAATAAAACAGAGAGAGAGCAGGTGAAAAAGAAAGAAAGTGTCTAGTTTTAAAGTAACAGAATGGAAACATGGCATGGAAGGGTTAAGGTGCTGCTGTGTAGTGTAGCTATGGCAACAGATGCAGCTGATTTAGCACACACATGAGGGTGTTGGAAAGAGCAAAGTAAAACAAGAGAAATGTGGTGGCAGGAGAGAAGATTCTAAATAAAGGGTTGCTGAGATCACCAACATAGGTGCTCCTCTGTCATCGGACACGTGGAAAAAAGCCCAGCCACAGGGAGGGTCCTGGGGTCTTTCGCTGTAATGTCCTTTTCCTTTTTTTTATTTTTATTTTTAGACAGGGTTTCACTGTGTAACTCTTACTGGTCTAGAACTTGCTATGTAGACCAGGTTGTCCTTGAACTCACAGAGAGCTACTGGCCTCTGCCTTCTGAGTGCTGGGATTAAAGACATGTGCTATCACACCCAGCTTCAGATATGTAAAATGTTTTTAATTTTTTTAATAATCATACAAGATAATAGACACCATGTGATATTGTTGAGCCAAGTGCTTCTGTGGGTCTCCTTCCCCACCTCTTTCATCCCCTGGTACTGTGCCCTGCTTGCTACACACACACACACACACACACACACACACACACACACAACTTCCTCTTTCATGTTCCATGTGTCCCACTGCCCTGCTCTATTCTTCCTCACTGCTCTTGATCTCCTTTCTGGATTTTTAGACTTTACTTACATTCACAATTCTTTCCATATCTACATGTGTACATTAAAGGCTAGGATCTATAGATGAAAGAAAACAAACAATTTTTGCTTCCTGAGTCTGGGTCATCTTGCTTATTTTATCCTTTTCAGATGTCTCCATTTTCCTGCACTTTCGTTGTTCTTCACTGCTAAATAACACCCCATTGTATGTATGTTCCACACTTCATTATCCACTCCTCTGTGGACGTGCATCTGGCTGCTTCCATTTCCTGGCCACTGTGAGTAGCGCAGCGCTGGCCATGAACACGCAAGCCTCTCTGTGGTAGCATATAGAGTCCTGCTTATACGCCCAGATCCCTGTAGAATTTTCAAATCAAAATCCAGTTCTTTCTGGGGCCCCATGCTGAATAAAGAGTGCTGAAAAATACACTCATAAAATAACAAGTGGAAAAACACACCCACGGTTAAATGAAATTATCTTCATGAAGTCTCCATACACCTCAATGCTTAGGAATTCTGTTCTTCAAGAGAAACAATTTATTGTTTCAAATGGATCTTTTCCCTTCAGTAAAAAGATTCACAGCTGAGCATAGGCGTTTAACTCCCCTTTCTGAGCACCACAGAAAATTGCCAAAGGAATGTAAAAATAGGAATAAATTCACATCCCTTCGGGTTACCAGGAAGCGTGGCAGAAACTGTGGGGGATTGACAGCATTGCGCTGTGGTTCCTCCCATCCAGGAACACCACATTCCAGTTCTTAAATCAATATTGGTAGTTCACATTATTTTTTGTGAAAGTTGTCCATTTTGTCAAGTGCTCACGCATGTGGGATTAGATAACTCGCCTGCTATTTTAAATCTTCTCCCTATTGTTCCATATGCTGCCTCCAGCATTCTGAATTTGCACCTTTTTGTCTTAATTAGCATTGCCAGAAGTTTGTCTATTTTACTGACTTTCTAAAAGAACTGCTAGACACGAAGTGAGGGAGGGGCTGTTAGGGGGAGGGCAGCACTCTGGAAAGGTGGAGGTGGGGTGTGAGGTAGAGGAAGGCCGGCAGGTACATGCCCTGGACATTGGAATGAAGAGATTACATTTCTGTTTCAAAAGATCAATTTTGGACCTAAGGAGGTTGAGCTGGAGTTGGTGGTGAGACTTGGGAGAGAATATCCCACGTGTTCCATGCTCCAGTTAATAACAGCATGAGCCATTGAGACCCAAGAGACCCCAGCCAGCATGCTGAGAGAGATGGAGGTGACCTTGTTGGCATAGAGACTAGAGTCTAGCTAGGTTTCTTGGGAGCTAGAGCTAGAGTCCCTTCTGGGAGCCGAGTCTTCCTTGTGGACCAGCGACCATGGAAGAGGAAGGAGCCCTATCTATGATCTCTCTGTCCAGGCTGCAACATGTCCTCTCTTCTTGCTTGAATTGTTTCCTCTTCATGCAAGGCCCAAGATGACTGGCCACTGTGACCATAAGAGATGGGGTACAGGGTGTCAAACAGTCCTCAGAGCTGCCACTGAGAAAAGCCACGGGGATGTGCTACCTGGTGTGGTAAGATTTTCTAGCCATTTCCAGGCTGGGCCCAGGTTAAGACCATCCAGGTTATTACATGAGATTTGCTTTGGGGCAGACACACTGGTAGGAAGCATGAAGCTTATGGGACAAAGGCCCATGTCAGACCCAGCAGGTCAGCCATATTTACTCCTGCACCAAGCAGCATTTGTTAACGAATACTGACTGCTCTTTTCAACTTCCCCGGCTGAAGTGATATCATCCACCTCGCTCACAGCTGCTAGACTTACAACCCAGCATTCTGTAACTCTCACTGATCATAAAAAGCTGGGTCCACCACTCCACTCATAAGAGCTAGAAGAGTTTCATTGGCTTCTACCCGCCTCCTTGACCCTCTGCCTGTGCCACACGGAGCACTGAGCCCATGGATTACTATAGAACTCAACTAGACTCATCCCCTGTCCCATGTCAGCAGGAAGACCTGTGTTTAATCCCCAGAACCCATATGAAAACTGGGTGTAGCAGAACATGTTTGTAATCCCTGCATTCAGGGACCAGAGACAGGAGGATGATATCTAAGGCTCACTGGCCAGTTAGTTAGCCTAGCCAATTTGGTGAGCTCCAGGCCAGTAACACATCCTGTCTCAAAAGACAAGATGAGAATCTTATGCATAACAGCATCTCGGGTTGACTCCCAGCCTTGGTATGACTGAACACACACATGTACCATCCACAAAAACCATGGAACTGGAGAAATATCTCAGTACGAGAGCACTTGCCTAGCACGCCCAAGGACCAGAGGCTGATAACCTCATGCCACGACAGAAGGAGCCATCCCAGTGATGTCATAGGTACCCCAGGTTAGGAAGACAAAATGGTGCAACCGTGAAAACTTAGGAGCAGCTTGTTTGGCCTGCTCTGATTGAGGATCCCAATGTAAAGACAGAGCAAGTAAGTATTCCTATAAAGTCGGGGAGCGGTTACCTCTGGGCAGGAGGAGGAAATGGGATGGGTGGGAGTGCGGGGCTGGTGGCTACCATCGCCCTTTGTTGCTGATTGATCTGCGTGGCAGTTACTGAGGCTTTCATTTTAGGACTCTGTTAAGTTGTACCTTAGTCCATGTTCTTTCCTATGTTTTCTATTTTCTGAAGTTTGTTTTTATTTTATAATTATGTATATGAGTGTGTGTCTGTGCATGTACGAACCATGTCCTTGGAGGCCAGTAGAGGGAGGCCGCCAGATTCCCTGAGGGTGGGATTCACCCTGTGTAGGTGCTGGGAACTGAACTCTGGTCTTCTGCAAGAGCAGTATAAACTCTCAACTACTAAGCCAGCTCTCCAGCTCCCACATTTTCCAATTTTTAAATCTTTTGTAGAATAAATAAAAATCATTGAAGAACTAGGGCTATAGCAGTGTTGGAGTACCTAGTGTGTGCAATGCAAAAATAATAAGTTAATTAGTCATGGGGAAAACAGCTAACAATTTCCTGGGCTTTCTAGCCATGGTTTGTTTTTTTTTTTCCTTTTGCATATGAGTGTGTGATGCATATGAGTGTTTTCAAGTGTGTGGACACACATGCGTGTGTAGGTATGTGTGCACAAGGCTAACATTGGGAATCTTTTAACATTGGCAAAAATCAAAATAGCATTCAGAATGCTAAGATGGGAGTGTGCTAGCTCAAAGCCAGCCTGGGCTAACAAAACTAAAAACAACCCCAAAAATGACATGGAAGAAGGAAGTTTTAAAATTTAAAATAACAAGCACTACACTGGGGAAATAATTATTCAGGGCAGGGTCTTGGTTTCCTTATTACACAGTGAAATTGAAGACAAAGCATATACGAAAAAACAAGGACTCTTGAGATAAAGATTCCAGCGATACTGAACACACGAGAATCACAAGTTTTGTGTAAGATTATGTTCCCTGGAGTTGTCCCAGACTTAATCCTGAAAGCCTCCTTCCAGGAAACCCTAGCTGGGTGGCCAGTGCCCCACACAGTACCCCAGCCTTGGCAACCAGTGTCCCACATAGCACAGTACCAGCAGTGTTTGTTGGCACCATTGTGTGTGTTGTCCCAGTTGACCCACTAGCCTACTGTTCTGCATTCAGATTCAACCAACCTCACACTGAAATATTTTGTATACAGGAACTAGGGCTGGAGAGATAGCACTTGACAGTCTCATGGAGGGCTCAGGTTTGGTTCTCATCACCCACATTAGGCAGCTCACACCTGCTTTAACTCCAGCTCCAGGAAATCCAATCCTCTTCTTGCCTCCCAGGGCACTTGTACATATGTGGTACACATAAACTCATGCAGGCACACACACATAAATAAATGATTATATTTAAAAAATTGTTCCTCTACCATGCAACCTAACTGTCTTGCTCTAGGTATAGATCCAAAGAAACTAGCAGTGGCATATCCTTCATTTCAAAAGACACCTCACACCCACATCTACCACAGGACTATCACAATGGCCAACATATGGAGCCAACAATCACAGATGACTGGCTAAAGAAAATGCTATACACACATTATGGGGTATTATTCAGCTGTGGAAAAAATAACATCCTGTCTGCTGCTGCTAAATAGACAGAACTAAAGGGATTATGTTGAATAAAATACACCAGACTCAGAGAAGCCCTGCATGTTCTCTCTCACGTGTCTCACATGGATGTCTTTATTTTTCGTTTTGCTCTTGTCTTATTTTGAGACAGTGCCTCATGTGGCTTAAACTGGCCTCAGCCTCAGACTCACTATATAGCTGAGGATGACCTTGAACTACTGGCCCTTCTGCCTCTATCTGCCCAGTGCTGGGATAACAGGCATATACCACTCCATGCACGTTAGGCAAGCACTGTGTCAACTGAGCCGCTTCCCCAGGCCTGGGTGTCTCTTCAAAAAGACTATTAGAATGTACAATAGTGACTTTCAGAGGCTAGAATGTGTGGACTGGAGAGGGTTAGAAGGAGGTTAGGAACAGGTACTCAAGCACAACTGCTAAAAGGAGGAAGTTATGGTTTCCATGGCACCCAAGGGATGACTGACAGCTTGCAATTACCTATTCCAAGTTTCATAAGTAGCTGAAAGACAGGGGCTAGAGGGCTGCAAATGTGAAGTCATGAGAGGGTGGAAGCAATAATTACCTTTGTTTTGTCAGAACACATTGTAGATATGTATAGAAATACCACAGTGACCCCACAAAGAAGCATGCCAGTGTACGGTCAAAAATCAAAGTGCATCTCAGGAGGTGAGCACATCAACTATCTTGATTCATTAGTGATTCACTCCACTAAATAGAGCAATTCACTGGCCCATATTCTGCAACCGTTATACAGAGCGTCTCACAGCACCATGACCTATAACTAATATAACTAAAATAATGACTTGAAAGACTAGATAGGTAAAAACAAGATTGTCAATAGATTAGTTTTAATTGATACCACTGAGCTTTGTGTGTTGTTTCCCGTTCACTCAATGGTATCTGCACGCCATTCCTGTGTGGTTCACCTAAGAACCAAGGCCAGAGTAATTGGCCTTCTCATTCCAAGGGTACCATCTGAACGTGAGGGACTTGGGTGTGGTGTTTGAAGACAGAAGTCATTTTTGGTGCTGTAGCCTTAAAATTCTTTCAGGCCAATCCTTCAGTAGACAGATTGAATACCAGCACTGCAATCTTTTTTAGAGATTCAGAATTGTACCTCAACAATCCTGGCTGTGCCCTGGAACATAGTTCAGGAGGCTTCAATGGGACAGAAACTCATCTTGAAGGGAAACAATACTTCTCACAGACTCAAGGGACAGCCCAGTTGAACTTTGGCACTTTCAGTAAAATGTAACTTGAGTATACATATATTCTCATAAGTCTTAAGTTGTTAAAATGCCAACAGGGCTTTCAAGGTGGCTCAACGGGTAAGGGCACTCACCAAGTAACAAGTGTGGTGGTCTGAAGTCCATCCTTCGGCCCACAGAAAGCACTGACTCCCACAAGCTGTTCTCTGACCTAGACATGGGCACTGTGGTACCTGACACACTAAATGTCACACATTTAATGTAAACACATGGACACACTAAATATATGTAACAAAAATTTTAATGCCAAAACAAGCCAGGTGGTTCATGCCTGTAGTCCCTGCATTTGGGAGTCAGAAGCAGGAGGATTGCCATGAGTTTGAGATCACCTTGCTGTTCATATCAGTGAGTTTCAGGCCAGCCTAGGCTACCATGCAGGGGAACTGTGTCTCAACAAAGGAAAACAAACAAACAATACAACAAACTTTAAGTAGTCTCACACACCACTGGATTTACTGAACTGAGTACTAGTGCCTTTGTGAAAACTAGCACTGTCCTTCTGGTTTTAACAATGGAAAGATGGGCATGGTGGCTGAAACCTGTAATCCCAGACTGACGGACTGGTTAAGGCTCACTTGGGCCACACAGTGACTCTAGGCCAGCCTCCAGGGGGGGCTGGTGCTACAAATACAAAAGGTCTCAAAAAGCAAAAGGAAATGATGCCTCAGGGCCTTTCTGTCCTCAGTGTCATATTCTGCTCTTGACTGTGGCAATGGCAGCTCAAGCATGCTCTCAGCATGCCTGCAAAACAATGCTAATAGTCCCAGAACACACAGCCACTTGAAGATAATCAGATATAATTTAAAATTCTGCCACCAAGCCACCCCTGGAGTGCCTACATAAACTGGCTGTCGGTTCATTTTAAAGTAACAAAAATAGTCACTGCTAACGTATAAAGAATGTCAATCTGTGTCCCAAGGCTGCCATGTGTAAATCTCATCGGTTCTTAGGAAAGCGACATCATATGCTCAGTATCTAGTTATCAGAGGGTTCTGGAGAACAAAGAGGCAAGTTAACCGGCCTAAACTCTCACGCTAGTGAGTTCAACCACCAGGTAGCTGGGTTCCACTTCACCATCACACCCACTTACCCAAGTGTAAGGCAGTTAGCAGAAGTCAGTCCATCTGCCGTAATGGAAATCTAGTCCAGTTACTTGAAAAATCAACAGGTACAACTTCTACATCACTCTCTTACTGCGGCAGCTGCTACTGCCAAGCGCTTCCAAGTTGGTCCATGGGGAGGTGCATTTGGCATAACCCTCTCATTCCTTACCATTGGCAGAAGCCATCAGGAGCTGATCCTCTGAGCCTAGCCAACCTATGCCCTGTGCAGAGCAGCCTCTTTCTCCCTTCTATTCAAGCTCCTCTCCCTTCACCCATGCTCTGACTCATCAGGTCTGTGCCCTGCTCTGACAGGGCAACATAGAAGCAAAGCCCAGCCCCAAAACAATCTGGAACACATTTCTCATTATTCATTAGGTAAAATTATCACTAGGGCAAAGTGATTCATTTTAGAGACTACACAGGTCCCTGGAGACACACACACACACATATATATCATTTATCTCTCTCTCTCTCTCTCTCTCTCTCTATATATATATATATATATATATATATATATATATATATATATATCCTCAGAACACCAGGGGCATGAGAGACCATAAGGTCAGATCAAGCCTATGCTTCATCTCACATGCTGTGTCTGATAATGGGGTATCTGTGGTCCTGGAATACAGAGCAGCCCTGCTCCCCTGCTTCTCTTTGGAAGTCATCCGGTTTTATATTCTGGATGAATGGTGATTTCTGTTTTTCTAGGACAATGTTTATCCCAACTTGTAATGATGCATTTGAAAGATTCCTTTGTGACCATGGCTTCTTGCATTTGTCGTGAAATGCTAACAGGGTGGAGTCCTTGGCCACCTATGTCACAACTCTTTGTTTCCAGAACTTCTTATCAAACCGGGCATCTAATAGCTTCTTGTAAATATTCACTGAATAAACAATGAGTGAATATGTTTACAAATAAAATACAGACATGTGGGCTGGTCAGCTACCTTTCCAAAGTTTCTGGAAGATTCCTCAGCTGCCTTTAATTTTATCCTGCTTCCTTTTTTCTACACTAGGTTACCTTGTTATTTTTTATGAATCCTTGTAAACTGACTCAAATCCCTTGTGAAACAAGGTAGGAGTTAAATAAATATACTTTCCCATGTCACATATATATTTAAAACCTTAACATAAATCCTCTGCCAACACACACACACACACACACACACACACACACACACTTGACCATCTGTACACTTTTAAAAGAGCTGCAGTTTATCTGAGCCTTGTGGTGCAGGCCTGACATCCCATCATTTGGAAAACAGAGACAGGAGGATGGTGAGATTGAGGCCAGTCTAGGATACATGTTGAGAATTTATCCAAGAAAAATATTTTTAAGAAGCTGAGTTTTGCTGTCTCCAACAATACAGTAATGTTTAAAGAGAGTTCTACCCCAGCCCAGAACCTGAGAACTAACAGCATCCATACATGGTTTGGTAATGTGACTGGGACAAGCTCACTTCTAATCAGACTGAGTGACTGGATGGGCTGGCAACAAAACTGTTGTAGATTTTGGATCAAAAAATGATTAGTCTGTGGATTTTCAAAAAGTAGTGTGCCCTTTTCACAGTGAAGAGTTTGTCACTACTTGTACCTTAGGGGGGATAGAGAGTGCTTGGCAAGGTCCTGGTCCACAGGTACTAAGAGACATCTGTCCACTTTACATAACAAAGGACAGAGGGTAGACACACTGTGGGTGCAGCTCAGTGGTAGAGCACCTACATAGTGTGCTCAAGGGTTCATCTCCAGCACCACAAAGTAACAATTTGAAAAGAGGAAAAATATTCAATAGCCCAACCCGCTGTGGCCAGCTACAATTTCTGACGTGTTATCCTCATGCTAGTCGGATAGGGTATTGCAAGTCTGACATGTTGGTTGTTTTCTACGTCCATATTCATTTCAAGTACCTTTATTCCAAGTGTTGGGCCAGGTATTCTTTTCATGAGTGAAACATAACTTTTAAATACTGCTCATGCAATTACGGTTGAAAGCACAAGTCAAACACATGACGGGCTCAGCCAGCCCCGCGCAGTAAGGGGAGCTGAGCCACTCTCCCTGTCCTTTGCTCTAGCAAGGATGGAGAACTAGCCCTTTCTTACCCATTAGTCATAAATCTCCACACAGAAACCTGAGATTTGATTTCTATTATTTGTAAGTTTATTGGAGACACTTAGCTCTTCATGACAAACTGCCAGAGGAGGAGTGGGCATGAAGAGAGGTGGCAATGATTTGTGTGTCATAAAGACAATTTTTTAAAGAATTTGACAGAGTGTGGGTGAGGCTTGCTTTCTGTACGTTTATCTATTCACTTCTGCCAGAGGATGGAGATGGAGGGTAGAAAAAGAAGAAGCCTGAAGAGCCAGACAATAGGCCGGTTGCAGGCCTGACTGGCATCCTAAAGCAGCCTGCCCTGCCCTGCCCTGCTCTCCCTTCCCCCAACACCTGGCAGGCTGTGGTTGTGATTCCAAAACAAATAACTGCTGGATCCCTGCCTTCTGGACCCCAGACCCAGAACGGCCTTCTCTGCTCCTCCCTGGGGTGCAGAAGGGGAGGGGAGAAGACACAGAGAAAGAAAAGGTGGGCGTTAAAGATGAACTAGCTGGAAGCGCCTCCTCAGGGACAGCGGCCTCCCCTACTCCACCCCTAAAGCTTAGGGATAACATAAAAACCCAAGCCCTGGGTGCCCAGGTATCAAATCTCCCATCCTGCGCATCTGCCCTGCCAGCCCCATTGAACTCAGCCAGGCAGGCGCACCTTGTGAATCTGGACCCCCGGTGCGCCTAACTGGGCAGACGCACATCCCTTGTGGATCCCGTAGGGCGGTGGCCCAGCCAGCCCTCCGAGAAGGCTACACCTTCTTGATGTAGCAGGCATGACAGACCCGGAATGCCCTATGTCCGCGCGCAGGCCCATCTCCAAAGCTCAATGTGACAGATCCGCAGAGCCGCAGGTGTACCCAGGCGTCCGCTGCTGCGCGGGCGCAGCCACTCCCAGGCTGAAGCTGAGCTCGCCGTCATTCTGTGGCTCTAGCACCCTGGGGATCCGCCCGCCGTGGCGCCCACCCTGCTCCTTCTTTGATATCCTACCTCATACTCGGCGGTCTCGCAGCATCCATCCCCAAATTCACCCAGCACGGCTGGGCAGCGCTCCTCTGCTCTGGGATCCGCTTCCCGGACTCACAGCTATTCTGCTGCGTGGCGCTTCCCGCGCATCCCGCAGCTCGGGACAAAGGCCCTAGATCCGCGCCCCTGAGGCAGGCGCTGCAGTCAGAGTCAAGTCCAGAGCCCGCGGGAGGCTGGAAGAAGTGTGAGCTTCCAGCAGTGCACGATGACAAAGGGCCGGGCGAGTGCGCAGCGCCCCCTCCAGAGCCCGGCTTGCTGCAGCGTCCCCGCCCGCACCCTGCAGCAGCCTGGGCCAAAGGCAGGACCTGCCCCTCAAGAGAACCCCCAGTAAGACACGCTCTGCTCTGAGTGTACACTCGGGGTATATTTTATTTTTATTTAGGGTCTCAGAACATCTTGCCTTTGGGAAGTAACTTTCAGTGCTGCTAGCGGGTGAAAACTGGATGACTAAACTCCAAACCAGATAGATTGATCCTGATTCTAATTCTGACCCCATCTTCAACTAGGCTGGGGGCTCACTCCTGTAACCTACACTGCCTCTGCTTCCTCTGGCCCCTTGTACTTCTCTACCCTACTCCCACCCCCGTGGAGTGGCCCCAGTGGCTGAGTAGAGTCAGGATCAATCTTCAGATCTGTCACTACCCACCTTTGACCTTGAGGATCCTGCCTAACTCTGCAAGCCTGTTCTCTACTGGAAAATGACCTGAATCTAATGTATTTGTCACCTGGGCCTTTTCTAATGGTTGTGACAGGATTCTTCAAGGGATAGCTCTTGAAAGGCAGGATGTTGCAGGCAGTCAGGGCTTTACACCTTCATCCTGCTTCCTCCAACTCCATGTTAGTCACTCCCAAAGCTCAGAGAAATATGCCTGTCAAAATGCTCAGCCTCCAGGTAAAAAAACCTCTGGACACTGAAGAAGAGCCCTGCTCTTCTGACATTCCCAACAGCAAACCTTTGGATTCCAACACAGTTAGGCAGTGCCCAAATCTCTGAAAGTGGTCAAGGAATTAACAATCGTCTTGATTGTTAATTGGTGTGGGAAGGCCCAGCCCACTGTAGCCAGCAAAATTCCCTAGACAGGTGACTCTGACCTATAGAAGAAAGCCAGCTATTAAGTATGGGCCTGACTGAACCATCCAGTGGACTTTCTTAATGATTTTTCCTTCAAGTTCCTACTTGAGTTCCTCTCCTAACTTCTCTCATAGATTGTGACCTGGAAGTATAGGTCAAATAAACCCTTCCCTCCTCCCGAGTTGCTTTTGGTCACAGTGCTTGTCATAGCACTACAGTGAAACAGAACATTCACCAAGCTATCTCCTTCAAATATTTTAAGCAAGTACTCTGATAACTCCTTTGTATACAGGCTTGTGAGAATGGCCATTCTAGGGCTAGCCCAGTGATAGAGTGCTTGCTTGCTAAGGTCCAAGTACTCAATAGTAGAGAAAGGTGGGGTGGGCAGAGACTATTAACATGAATAGTCTCTCATCAAAAGCTGCTACTGGTGCAATGTGAAAAGATCCACCACAACAAACCCTGAACAGCCCACAGATATGCGGCTCAGATGCTAGGATGACTGTTTCTCAGCAGTTCTCCCAAAACCCACACCACGATCCCCACCTCCTCCACCTCCATAGCTTCTCACACATTTTCATGTCTTCCTCAGATGCAGTCATGGTCTCTCTCACTCTGGCAACAGAACAAGGGTGAACTCTCATCTCTCTAATAACTTATGTCCAAAGTTCCACAACCAAGAAAGTATGAAGCAGTGTTCCCTGTCAGAACTCCGGGGAATCTGGGAGCCCCTTTTTAGAATTCCATGAAATGGTAGGTAAGGCAGGCTCCTTTCCTAAACAGAATCCCAACAGGGAATCAAGAACCATTTCCTAAGCCTTCTCAAGCCAACTCTATTATTACGCTGAAATATCTCTCTCTAAGGCACTGGTTTCCCCAAACTAACAGCAGACCCTCCTTGGCCCCCAGCACTGTCCGAAGGCTTCATGCAACATCTTCCTCACCTCGTCCTCAAAAGACCTACAAGAGGTGGGCAGTGTAATTATCTCCTCTTCACTGGAGAACCTGAGACAGAGTAGATAGGTAACTTATCTAAGGTCACACAGCTAGGACACGGCAGAGCCAGGGTTCAAAGATAAGCATCCTGTCCCCTCCAACCCCCAGCTCGTGATGGCCTCGACTTCCAGAGGAACAAGAACAGGTGCTCTGAGGCAGAACTAGAAGCTGGCTGTTGTAGATCACATCTGTGATCCAAGCACTCAGGAGGCAGAGGCAGGTGGGCTGCTGAAGGTTTGAACCACATGTTTGAGCCAAGCCTGAGCTGCATATTAAGTACAAGGCCACTCCGCTTCCAGATGCAGAACTGGAACAAAGTGGAGACTAGCTCTCCTTAACTCACTCAAAAAGGGAGCTTCCTCCCAACCCACCACAGCATTTTCAAAGCAGGAAAAAAAGATCAAATGTGGCCCTCTTCTAAGGCTTCTTGGTCAAATGTCTGATAGGAAGCAGGAATTATATCAATTTTGCATTGGTAACCTGTGAAATCCCACTGATGCTGCAGACATTTTTCACTCACTCAATTCCAAACTCATGCTGAAACCCAATCTTATTAAGAGCTTATTATCTACTGGTATTTAAAAAGAGGTGCTTGTAGACAGGTGGAGGTGCCAGCTGTCACCTTGAAAGCCCAACAATGCCTGGCCCTTCTTGGCCAGGGACAGAACAGCTCTGGAAATCCCAGTCAGAACTGGACACTGCAGCTAGGTAACCCCCAGGGGGACAGATGCACTTTAAAAGTTGATTTTCTGATTTTCAGATTTGCAATAAGATAATTTCTCAGCTTCAAGTCTTTTGAGTATCTCTGTCAGCAGTGGTTGTAGGGAGAGGGGGACAGTAGGCAGCAGGTGCCCAGCACTTTGTTATGGAGCTTCTAAGATGGCCTCAAGGATCACTATCCTCCTGGGATTCTTCCTGAGCTGTTGGCAGTACTGATTTGCCTCTAACCAAACTTTTCAGCTAAGATGGTGGAATGTTGTAGTATTAAGTGTTTCTATTGCTTCGACAAAAGACCATGACCAAAAAGCAAGTTGCAGAGAAAAGAGTTTATTTGGCTTACACTCCCATATTGCTGCTCATCATTGAAGAAAGTCAGGACAGGAACTCAAATGGCAGGAACCTGGAGGCAGGAGCCATGGAAGGGTGCTGCTTACTGGCTTGCTTCAGATGATTTGCTCAGTCTGTTTGCTTATAGAAGCCAGGGCTACCAGCCCAGGGATGACGCCACCCACCATGGGCTAAGCCCTGCCCCCACTGATCACTAACTGAGAAAATGCTTTATAGCTGGATCTCATGGCGGCATTTCCTCAACTGAGGTTCCTTCCTCTCTGATGACTCTAGCTTATGGCATGTTGACACACAAAACCAGCCAGCAGTACACTGTCTTGGGGTTTCTATTGCTGTATAAAACACCTTGACCAAAAACAACCTGAAAAGGAAAGGGTTTGTTTCACCTTACAGCTTGTAGTCTACCATCCAGGGAAGTCAGGGTAGGAACTCAAAATAGGAACCTGTAGGCAGATACCAATGCACAGGCCATGGAAGAGCACTGCTTACCTGATGCTCCCCATGCTCAGCCTACTTTCTTATACCACCCAGATTGCCTGCCCAGATGTGGCATCATCCCCAGTATGCTGGGCCCTCCCACATTACTTATTAAAAAAAAAAAAAAAAGGCCCACAGGCCAATCTGATGGGGGCTTTTCTCAACTGAGGGTACCTCTTCCCAAATTACTCTAACTTGTGTCATGCTGACAAAATACCAACCACTACAGACACTGTCTGTGGTTCCAGTCATAAGAATCTTCTCTTGTGGCAGACTCTCTTGGTTGCCTTCCTAGCACGTTCACTTTTGTTAGGAAGACATATTGGGAAGGCTTGCCTGGCATCAGGCATGGGGGTAACATCAGCCAATCACCAGTTATTAGCAGAATCCCTTGTTCCAAAATTCCTAGAGGAAATTAATTCTGCCAACAACCATGTGTGTGTAAAGTCAGTGGAGTCTTCACATGAGACCTGGAAGCAGAGGACCAGATGACACCACATCCACATGAAACTGAGGAATTGAATGTGTTGCTCTAAAGCTTATCACTCACATGAGAACAGATAACCATTGCAGAGTTAACATCCACTGTCTCCTGACTTGGTGTCCAGCAGCCATCTCCAGGGCATGCTGGAGTCACTGAAAGGCTTAGCACCCTGGGATCAGCTCCTCATCCCTGAACATCAGAAAGGCTCCAAGAGGCACCTTCTACACTGTCTCCCAGCAGTCGCCTGCTTGGCAGGAGTCTCTCAGGGTTTGCTCCTGTTCACTAGCTCTCTCCTATTCTACCCTGGGTGCTTCCTGAGCTTGTCCCAGTTTATGCTCAGAGACAACCATCCACTGTTAGAGCAATTTGCCACTGTACACCAAAATTGAAAGTGGGAGTTTTCCTGAGATACAGTCTTCATCGTTTTGTAGGCCAAGTCTGAATATGATTTGGAGCCATGTATGCTGTTAAGATTCTCAACCACTATCACAAATGACAAACAGCAGCAAGACAGCTGCCACACTGCCATCAGTGTGATGCCAACTTCAATATACCAGAAACCCTGCAAATAAATCTCTCCTAAACCTTGAAATCAACCCAATTCCTATTCAGACCAGGTGCATGGTTTCTCATGGCTCTTGCCCTGCTCTGTCCACACACGAGTGGCTTTAGTCCCCAGGAAACCTGCTCCAATCCCAGATGCTAAAAATGCTGTCCGCCCCTACTCTCACCCCCACCTCAGCAGATGCTCACGTGCTTCATTCTGGAGCTTGCCTCCCAGGAATGCTGCTGATTTTGCACAGCCCTTTCTAAGCCCATCTCTAAATCCCCTCAAATGCCATCACTGCCAGCCCCAGGAATTCCACTCTCCAGATTCCCTCTAAAGACAAGAAGAGGAGCACTACCTGCTCAAAGCAAAACTGGCAAGGCTACAACCTATATTCTGAGCCCTCTGAAAGAATTCTTTGGGCTACAGAGCCTTGATATCTGCCAGAAAGTGTGTTCAGTCAGGGTCCCCAGGCAATATTCTAGAACTTCATGCAGTCACCCCTTTGAATAACCTGGGCTGAAACCTTCTAAACATCCTGTGGTCAAATAAAAACTAGCTTTAGGGGCTGGGAAGGTGACCCAGTAGG